CTGATAGATTGAGCTGGAACCAGGGACGCAAGTGGTAATCGTTGCTAATATCTGTCATGTTACGGCTATTATCATATTTCACCGTAACGTAGCAGCAATAAATTTTTTCCGTGGCCGAGCGATAGCGTTTTAATCGACCTTTCTTGAGGTTTTTGTCGTATTTTGAACGGGAGAACTGGCGTGCGGCGCTACCTCTCGCACTCCTCCACGTGTTTCTGATACAAACGTGAAACGATATCGCGTACTCTGACGTGGAAGAATTTAGCGAACGACTCGTGAAAGTTGATAGAAATCATTTAGTAATCTTTGCGATTTAATGGCCTGTATAACAAAACAGTAGAAAATAAGAGAAAATGATGACGCAGTGGTTGGCACGAGTATCGAGTTTCAATCCCATCGCCATTACACTCACTTTCGCTGGTAATTCGTAATCGTTGGAGCGACCGGCACGAGATGGGCTGTGCGTGCATCGTCCACTGATACCAAAATTATTTTCTAACGAGAAATGTGCATGGCCGGTATTATTTATAGAATAGCGTAGAAACGTTCGGACAAATTGCATAGGTGAGCACGGTAAGCAAGCTGTAGCAAGATGAATTCTTGTTGCGCAGATCTCGTAGATCACGATCCACGAAACGCAAGCTGCTCGAGTTCCCGCAGGTTTCTGTTCCCCCGGCGCTGCGTGGGTGTCGTGCTTGGCAGGGTTCCAGTACTCGTGGGAGGCTGACCAGGCCTTATAGACTGACCTCAGCCTCTGACCTCACCCGAAATAGTCTCTCGTTCCCTGGCTCGTCTCTCCTGCATTTCTATTTCAGAAATTTCCCCTCTTGCGCCACGGGAGACTGAGAAACAGCCGTGGCAGATCACTCGAGAATTTCTGGAGTACGTATATTTCCTCGTCCGTTACGTCGAAATTCCGTAATCTCTCGTATCATCGAGGAATAACTTTTTCCTACGAGAGAACGTGTTTTTGAGAAACGAACGCTTTTGACAAACGATACCTGCTTGCAGATAAAGCATGTTTTAGAATTACGATTATGTTGTAGATTCTTAGAGTTGGGAGTACACGAATAGAAAATGATAAATAAATACAAAATATATAAATACTGTTCCAAGATATCAAGATTGAGATTTCAGTTTCGCAAAATCAGTAGAGATGCGAAAAATCAGTGGACTAAAAATCCCTGCACGTTCAACAATTACCCGATTCTGGATCGAACGTCATCCATTGATTATTCCTGAAAGTGTACGTTTAACGTCAAGCGTCAATTTGCGCGGCGGGCGTTCTTCCTGTTCGAGACGATCTATTTTCTGCGTAATCCGCATTTGAATCTGAGAAACGTGAAACAATGAGTTGCGAACGACTCGCACGAGGCGAACGATCGTCCGACGTGGAAACGACGGCGGGTTTCGAGTAAACGGCGCGACCTGTTCCGTCAAATCTCTCGGCGAAGCTATTTTCAGAGATGTCGTTTTTCTCTTTGGCGTGGACGGTAGCGAGCAGCGGTAAGGAATTATGACGTGGGTCGCATGCTACGGGTGGGTAGGTAGGTAGGTAGGTAGGTAGGTAGGTAGGTAGTTCCATTAAGATGCAAATTCGCCAATAATTCCGCCACTCGGCCGCTTGTCGTCCTGCTCGCGTACCAGCCCGTAATCGTTCATGCTGGATCGACTCCGATGGATCGAGAGCGAAAGAAAGCGAGAACGAGAGAGAGAGAGAGAGAGAGAGAGAGAGAAGAAGAAAAGGAAGAGGCAGAAGCCGTTTTCCAATTCCCCGTGCATCACGGGCGCCTACGACGCCGGGAGTTAATTATTGTCTTGGGAATTTAATTGCTCGCGTATCGTGATACTCTTACTCCTTTTACGGGGGGAGAGGTTCGATGTAGAAAGGAACTGTAAATACATATAACGTTGCTTGCTCGTTTGCTGCGTGTGGCGTGGAAAGTTGCATCGCCACGCTGTTCTCTAGTATGTGGACCGGTATCTGTTACAGGTTGATGTAGCAGATATTTTATTGTTTGGCTATTGGTGCTGAAACGTGTATCGAGTGATATCTGTTAAAGAGACACACCCCCTGAATTTTGAGCCAAGCAGAGACATAGATTTTTCGTTTGGTGGAGATGTCAGAGCTAACGAATAAAGAAATTGGTCGAAATTTAATTGTAAGTATAGTAATCTCGTCGAGGTTTTTTTATTTAATTATTACTTTTGATAGCCTGCAAAGAAAATTTTATGATGAAAATTTACTTATAGAAAATAGAGTTCTACCAATATATAGGTTGTTGATATTTATCGGTAACGTTGTAGTTGACAGCCTTCCTATTTTTCCGTTGGATAAAAGGCAGGAATCGATACTTTTCTAAAAAAAACCTTGCTACAAATATCGTCCACATAGTGAAGAAGGTCGGCTCGAGATATTTTTATTCTTCCACGTTTCTTGTTTATTAGAAATTCGAAAATTGTTTCATTGAGTATAAAGAAGAACAATTGAACAATTTATTACAAATGAAAGACTGTAAAAAGCAGAGGAGAAGAAGAGAGAGATCCTTCCAATTTTGACGATGATCACAATTTCTCGTTAAATGTCCAGAAATATGGTGTAGAACAAATTATATTTGCAGAAAGAAATTTGTGTCGACGAATTTTTGTATTTGTAAAATACACGTAAAATACTTTTCCAACAAGGGAAAGTATACGAGTACCAATCAATAAACGCAATGATAATTTCAAACTCACGCTTCTCTGAAATTTTATGCGGTCGTGTTACCAGGCACACCGATCGAGTGTGCGCTCAACGCATAACGTATGCGTGATCAGCGATCGTATTTCATACCTTAATAGTCAAGCATCATTGAGATATTAATGCTGCGCACAGCGTGTACTTACATTCTTTTAAAATCGAACTAGTCGGCTTGACTAGACAATGCTAGCGCGTGTGGACCTAAATATATATATGTATGTGTGTATGTAGAATGTAGAATGAGAGCCTCGACTTTCGGATCATTCGCGTTGAAGAGAAAATGGCGGCGTGGTTCTGCCTGCGTTGTGAGTTACACTCGCGATTCTTGCTTTCTGATAATACTTTTTCTTTTTGACGCATCGAAGAATTATTTTTCGCAACAGTGCGAAACGTTTGCGGAACAACGAAATTTGTTTCGTACGTTCACGTAAAAGTACGAAAATTTTCACTGTGCAAATGTTCGTCACTGCATCAATGTCTCATTCTGAATATTTCACTTTGCAGACTTTGTGCGACCTTTCTATATAAATCGAATAAATTGCAATTGCATTATTCTACGCGATGCTTAAACATATTTTTGTGACATAGGCGGAATAAGTGAGTCTCGTAGGTATGGCTATCGCGTTTCCAATCTCGTAAGCTAATATCACTGATTCTCCAATGGTACGAAAGTACTTCGGCTAGTCGCACTCGCGAGTCCGTGGTTCGGGGTTTAACGTATTTCCAGGGATATCTAATTACTGGAACGACTCAAGACTAAGCGACGACAGTTTCGCTCGACGTTTCCTATTTTCAACGCGTTTAACATGGGCTATGAGTTTGTTGGTACATACATACATACATACATACATATGGAGAGACAGTTACAACAGATTTGAGTTTTTGAAACTTTTGTCGCGTTTGCCACAAATTGGTGTGTAAAATGTCGACGAGATTAGCTGTTAGTACATATGCATATATTAAAGATTGTTCTTGTCGGAAGAAACGCATATGCAAACGTACAATGAAAACTGGATCAGTCGTGTAAGAGAGATCCTGTTCTGGGAACGATTCTCGCGAGGTTGATCACCGACGAGGATGAGTTGCCGCTGGTATGAAGAGTCGAGGACCGGCACACTCTGCGATCCGTGGAACGAATGTTAAGTCGCAGATGTTATCGTTTCAGATATTTACTGGCTTGCGAGCCATCAGACTGTTCCAGATTAATGGCGCGATCGGTAATGAACGTGGCAGCAAGGGCCACGGCAATCACGGCTTCTTGGTACCACAAATCCCGACTTCCTTGTACCCTGGAGCTCTTCTCCGCATCGCGTCGCGTCGTGTCGCGTCGTGTCGCGTCGTGTCGCGTCGTGTCGCGTCGTGTCGCGTCGCGTCCCGTCGGTTTATCGTAGTTAGATATATGTATATGTACGCGTGTGCATACGTCGCGTCCATACGCATTATCACCGATACGACCCTGTCGTATATGAAACTTACTTATGAGCGGGTATTCTTCATCACGTTTCTTTGATGTTGTTCGATAAAGGGGTCTCACTCCGATGGAAAGCTTTCTGGAATGGCGATATTATTAACGTGAAAGTTTCTGCTTGTTAGTGGTCGCTAGCATAAATATTGATTTAGTTATTAATATTTCTTTATTTATGTAGTTACTCGCACGCATCTGTTCAATCTGCCATTTGATGGATCAATTTTTCTTAATGTATGTAGCAAGTTTTTGTGAAAAGTTTCATTTCGAAAGAGATGAATTTGACGTCGTTGCTTAATCGCAATGTTTATCTCTCCCTCGAGAATCTATGAATTTCAAATACGCGAGATTACTTGCGAAAAAAAGTATAAGAGCGGTTGATCTTTTTCAATCAAATTCGACAAATGAAGTGTAACACCACAACGTATCGTGTCCAGTGCTAGAAATAAAAAGATGGCGCACATACAGATAGGAGGAAATAACATGGGAGGAAATTTTACCCCTTAGCAAGATGTACACGGTCGATCGATTAATAGCCATAACAAGTAGAATATATAATGTCTGAAAAATCCCAATGGAACATGCTTACGTAGCAAAGCCGTGTAAAAAAATGGCATGGCAGGAATGGCGAATCGTGTATCACCGGCTGATGGGAACACCGGCTGCGTCGAATAATACAAAATTCAGCTATACTTATCTGTACACTGGTACAGATGGGTCTGGTGCAACGCGGCGTTTGTTCCAATCTAGGCGGCCTGGGGCAATAAATATGCCTCTCTGGCTGATATAATGCGAGCGTGGGTTGGTACCGCTGGAATCAGTCGTCGCAGCTGCTTGATTTACGCCATATGCCGCGATGCATCACGGGACTATCGTTCTACTTGCATTTCGCCGACCGAAAATAGGTTCGACTCTCGTAACTCGACGCTGTCCCTTTCCGTTTCGCTCTTTTCATTCTTCTTCAACCGTCGGAGTGCGACGTGAATGCTCCGTGCCGCGTCGTAGACCGATACATTTCTTCCTAAATCCTCCCTTATCGAGTGTCGTTTGTTTTCGTCTTCACAGTCTTCTTCATCTCTACTGCTTCCTCGAGGGAACGGTTGTATCTCTGTCGTTTGTTATTGGCCTCGGATTTAGAATGGCCATGCCATCTCTGAAATAATAAAGCATTCGCTGATAAATGACTACGTACATACATATGTGCTGTAAACAAAATGTTCCAATTCAATTACTGTCTTGTTCGCGAGACACAAAATAATAATCGTCTATCTTCGTCCACTCTAATCAAAACCAACGGACCATCATGGATCCCTGGAACGTTATTCGATGAACGCATCGACGACGATGTGTCGTGCACACGAACGTGATCCGAAGCATGGACTTAGCGACGAGCCCTGAGTTGATATTCTGTGTCAAAACGAAAAAAACAAGAAAAAAGGAAATCAAACGCAGCGTATATCTCGCAGCGTGGAAGACGGAATATCGCGTGTCGTTTTATCCCGAGCATTTCAACATTTTACGGACGCAGTCTCAGCGAAGAGTGAGAAAGAGGGTGAGAAAAGGAGTTGGCCTGACGTACGAGGTCGTGGTTGCCGTGCAACAACGTTCACTCTTCTCTTCCTCTGCCGCTCACTTTGTCATCGTCTTCTTCCTCTTCTCCTTCTCCTCCTCCTCCTCCTCCTTCTTCTTCTTCTTCTTCTCCTCCTCCTCCTCCTCCTCCTTCTTTTTGCTCTCTTATTTCTGTGGCCTCTGTCGTACCTCGGTCTTGGGCGATTCGACCTCCATGAACCGGTTTCGATCCGTGGCTACCGGCATCAATGAAAAACTCGACTTGTGATAACGCTATGGGCCTGGCTCTCAAACAGAGACTTTTGCAAACCGAGCCGATCCCTTTTGATTGAAACACCGGGCCGTTCACGTTTGGAGACTACTATAATTACTAATTGCCACTGTGGCTTAATTAGAGATTCACGTCGTCGCTTCATCAGCGCTTCTTCGTCTCCTTTTTCTTCTCTTTTCTTTCACTGTTCAAAATCGTTTTTCGTCACAGAATCTTGATGGTCTAGTCGCTGATGCTTGCATTGACCTTTTGAGATTCGAACGAAGAGATGATTCGTCGTCCAACGGTTGCACTCTCGCTTTCCGTTTTTTTCCGGATTGCTTCATTAGACAGCTGCACTTGCGCTACTCTCGTTGTCTCGTTTGCTCATTTGACCGCTCCTCGTCTCTTTTGTGATTTTAACTGCCTCGTTATTGGTTCGTGACTCGTGCTCAAAAAATAATCATCGTCAGAAGAAGCGATATATCAATTCAATTTTAATTTTGACGTTTGGCAATGCGAGGAGTTTGAATTTGTTGACAAATGGATTCCTGTTTATTGAAATGAAAAAATTTGCAGAACGAGTTTTGATGAAATTTCAATATATTGCAATAAGCAAGCAAACTGAACACGTAGTATTTCCTGTGTTGACGACTGTACGAACAAATCGGCGTGAAACGAGCTACCGGGGACAAGCAAAGTTTGGTTCATTAACACCGATCATGAATCATGCGAAAAAACACGACCGCGATATCCAAAACGGGATAAATATCCTTGGTTTGGCCGGATCGACAAATAGAAATGTGAATCCGATCGTATGTAGATTACAGAAGGCTCTGTGCAATCGATATATATGTGCGTGTGTACACGTGTATGTGTATCAGGAATTGTCGAGAGAAACGGAGAGGGAGGGAGGGAGGGAGGGAGGGAGAGAGAGAGAGAGAGAGAGAGAGAGAGAGAGAGAGAGAGAGAGAGGGAGAGAGAGAAGAAAGGCACAGTAGAGATCGGATAATAGGTCTCTATGCGGTGTAGCAGCCAGGGCAAGCCAGCCATCGACAAATGGCCGTGGCCATGCAATAAACAAGCCGCGCAATTAAGAGAGCAGGTTAATTAATGTGGACCAACTAGGAGGAGAAGGGTCCCTGATCCCTTTCGAATCTTTCTTTCTCCTTTCGTTAGCCAGTTTCTCTCCTCTTTATCCGATCTCTTTTCTTCTCTTCTCCTTCTGTATTTCCAATGGTCTTGCTTCTTGTTTCACGATTCGTCCTTCCCTCTTCTCTTTGCTCTCTCTCTTCGGGCTCTTCTTTCCTTCTTGTCGGCGTAACCACCTCCCTTCTTGTCGGCGTGCACGGTAGTTATCGAGAACCGAACCACTACCTTTTTTTGCGGTAGTGGGGCGTACACACAGCAGTCAGGACGTCACGGGATTTTCTTCTACCCTGGCTGATGTGTGGCCAGAAGAGGAAGAAGAAGAAGGGGAAGAAGTAGAAGAAGAAGAAGACGAAGAAGAAGAAGAAAAGTAAAAAAAGAAGAATAGGAAGAAAAAGAGGGAGAGAAGAAGAAAGAGGAGTCGTAAGAGGAAGTAAAATAGAGAGAGAGAGAGAGAGAGAGAGAGAGAGAGAGAGAGAGAGAGGAGAGGGTGGGAAAGGGCGTGGAAGCGACGGCAGGATATTCTGGTTATTCGTGAAATCGGTGAAATCGATTCGACACAAGGACCACGTCACTTGTAAATCCTGCTTTACGGGTTTCTCCTTCCAACATGATTTTGCTCGAGAATGTCGAACGAAGCTTGCGACGTTTGCAAGTCGACTGTCGATGCCTCTGTGAAATTAGAAGAATTGATTTCGATTCGATGTTATTTCGGTGCAGAAGTGGTGTAGAGCAATGATAAAGGCAAGGACTTCAGCATCGGCCGATTATCCCTACCTTGTAAATTTCTATATAAAAATAGCTTACACGAGAATGTTTCTTCATTTCAATTGATGACTTTAGCTGAGTGTAGTTCAGTCATTGTAGTGTTTATGTACATAACGTAGATGTGTATGTTTCGCGGATACTTATGAAAAGCTAAATATTAATAAATGTTGATATCAAGGATAAAAGTTATTGTCTCGTAACAATGTTGCAAACCGAATCATCGACGAGAAATTCTTACTGATAACAGAGATAGCGCTCAGCCAGAGTAAATGTTGCTGCAATCATAATCCTATTGGCAAGCGTGAAGGAAATTGCATCTGGAGCTTGTCGATCGTACATACGTGCTGGTGATTGTATTGGATATCGATTATGGAGAATGGTATCGCGGATAGACGTACGCGAGTGATCATGATAATTATCAGGCATTTTCCGTGGGCATTCAGCCGTATTCATTGGCATTTTGACGTTAACGCGAGAATTGAAAAACAAAAATCAGATACGCTTGAATCGGTCTGCATCAGTTTGTCGAGGCAGGTGTCAATGAAATCCTCATGCTTGTAAAGAAACAACAATCCAATCAAATTTTTATTAACGAAGATACATATTAAGTGGACTTAAACGGAAATGTTCATTTGACAAATTTCAGTGAAATTTTTATCGATACAACAACGAAATTCTGACTAGCAAAGAAGACTATTATTTTCCTACCAGTTATGAACAAATGCTAATCTAACGATGAAATTATTATTTACGTAACTATTGGGATAGAAAGATACGATATTTTCGACTTAATATTTTATGAAATATAAACTTTTCATAGCTGAATGAGAGATTGATAAATAGAATGTACAACATTATTCAAATTGTAACGAACACTCTGCGATTCTAATCTACGTAGGTGCGATTTAATCGAACCACTATGTGATTCGAAGAAGACTGTGTGATTAACGTCGACAGATAAAAACTAAAAATTTACTATACTGTATAGTGTTTTCTTTGGACAAGAAACGAAGGTGCGAGGAAACATAATTGAAAAATGATGGAATTTCGATAGAAATTTTCGCGACGAGGAGAGGAACGATTTCTCCACAAGGTAGAATAAAAGTCAACCAACGTTTCCTTCTGAGATCACATTCTAGATATCACGATGGACAGTTCCATCCATTCTTCATCTCAAATGGAGCGCCGACAGCCAACCGATTTGGATTTTCGCGGAAGAGAACCTCTGGATTCAATGAGGAAATGGGAGAGAGCGTGTTGCAGACCGTACGAGCTCGCGCTCTTCAAGGCCGTGTTAGACCTTCACCTCTTGACACGAGAGCGTACTCGAAGGCTCGGCTGGATATAGCCTGGAATACCATGAAACTTATGATCCGTACACACCCCGCTACTTAAGACATATTTGACCCTAGCAACGCTATTGAATCACCTACGCGATTTGAATTCACGGAGCTGATTTGATTACGATAATCCCGCCTGGATTGCCTCGAATAGATCAAGCGCTAGTGCGTAGATATAGAATTTATTCATTGTTTGCGTCGCTTTCAAAGAATTTTCCGTTTCTATAGAACCGTCTTCGAGGAGATCAAATTGTTATCTAATTACTCTAATCGAGTGTCTGTGAATGTCTGTGAAAATTATTTCTAACTGTGATGACGTACAAAGTCAGTTTCTAACCTGAAAGATCTTAAATCTTGTGGCAAATTAATTTCAAAACGAGCCCTGAATGAATCACGCACAACTCTCTGCTACCTTGGCATCTACACAAGCACGAATCGGTATTGCGTAACTTGGTCAATCAGATAACAATCAACGCTTTCTCTGCGACACAATCGTTGACAGGAATTTCAACTAGACACTGAGAAATAATGCTCACCATTAGTGAACATACGTAGCAAATGTCAGAATGAGAATACGTTGTGTCGTAATTTCCCGGCAATTAATACATCCACGTAGCCAATGCTCCGACTCGACGTTCAAGGATCGATCTTTCCCACTCATCGATTGCGCGTTGCGCAAGCTTGTCGCGGTGTCGATTCTTCGAAGATAAAAGTTTGTCTTTTGTTTGAAGATTACAAACAGACGAGAAATTTGGAAGAAATTGGCTGTGAAATGCACAGATATACACGATGTAGAAGAGAGATACGAAGCTTACTCAACTCGACAAGTTCGTCGGTACTTTCACAAAGCAATTGAAACGTTAAATTGCAGGGCACGGTTCAAAGAACGTTGCCCGCTATCTGCGGATTGGACTTAATTAAGCCCCTATCACCCTATTATTACGACAATCACGATAGCACTTCTTATCTAATAACTTAATTTGAAGCACCGTTGAAGCACCGTTTGCCTACCGATGCTTCCACGAGAAAGATGAAAGAAAGTTGAGATCAATTATCAAACCGTGAAATTATACCGATAGGACAAACGATGCTCGTTAATTTGTCATTTCATGAAGTCTTGATAGAAATTGTTCAACTTTTTCGAATGATTTATCAACGCATCTCAACACTTGTGACATACAGTACGATATACAATATGTTGTCAAATTAACGATCAAATTAGTTAAAGAGATTTCTGTGTCGAATGTTGAAATGACTTTGGTCGGTCAGCGTATATTATAATATTATAATGTATTTTGTATTTTGAAAAATAGACACATAGGAGGACAACAGTAGGAGTTTCGATAGAACTCGATAGAAATTCGACAAGTGATCTACGATTGGTAAATTAGCTGCGTCAAGCATTTAATATCCATGAAACTGTACTCCAAATCAGAATACAAATCTGTACGCGTAAATAAGTGACACGTGCAAAGGGGACAAAGGGAAATTGGCGGATGGTTTAAATGCTACCAATAGCGGTAATCGTATGGGACCACCTACCAGCTCGTGATTTCATAATCAATGCTCGTGGCACGAAAATACACGCCACTCGCCACTCGCCACTCGCTACTCGCTACTCGCCATTCGCCACTCGTCACGGCCACAGCCACAGCCACAGCCACAGCCACAGCCACAGCCGCGGCCTGTGTCTGTCATTATCTTGCACGTTCGAGTTTCAATTAGCTCGGCAATGCGACTCGCGAGCATCCACTTCGAATCGCTGAAATCCAAACGAAATAACTCGAAATGACTCGAACGAAGTTCAAACGAATTTGGCACGGCAAATTCGACCGATCGTTGATCTCTTTCTCAAAGAAATCCTAATACCGATTTTTTGATTTGCCGATCAAACGCGAGATCAATCAAGCGTCGTTTGTCAAAAATTTTGAAGCGGTCAACCAATACTCACGCTTCGTTCGTTTAAACGTTCCTTGAAGATTTTCTCTCGTGAATTTACAACTTGTGTTGTAATTTTATTTTTTCTCGGGATTCTCTCACTCAGCTTTTCCAGCCTTCTGACTCACAATCAGTCACCTTCGCAGAGTTATTTCACTCTTGTCTCTCGCTTGGTTCACATTCACACGTTCACGCTCGATGCTAAAGGGCGCACTGAACTCTGCCCTCGCCGCCGTTAATATCTCCAGTTGCGCCACTTTTTTCCCCCGATTAGTCACAAGCTATTTTCTTCATCGATGCTGAAAGGTTACGCGCACTTGCGAGAACGGCGATGCACGATGATGGTGATGGATGGATCGCTCCGGTACGTAATCAGTTGGCATTGCGACGTGAGGAACGCTTTCCTCGTGAATGTCAAGAGCCGATTCTTAGAATTCCAGTTTAATGGCACGCGTGTGTGCGTGTAAGCGTGTTCGCGGGAACACCAGAGAAAATCTGATTCGATATTGTTTACCGCGCCGTACACTTGTGCACACTACCTTTGGTCACACTATTTGATCAAATATATTGGATTAATCCATTCAGGACAAGCGATGAAACAACGTGTAGAAACAACGTTGAACAATATCGTTTTTTAAGAGAATTGAAAAACTTTAAATCCTGAAACTTGACACAAGCAAAATCTAGAGAAGGTGCAGTTGGAGGGATGAAGTTGACAAATCAATTTTCTAGTTTTTACAGGAAAATAGTTTCTAAATTCGAACCGTTAGTTCGTTGACGACGAAAGTTATTTCAACTTGGGTTCAAATTGTGTTCAAGCTGTATCGTACTGCTGGGTAGAATTTTTTCGAATATGTTTCAAAGTCGATGGAAAGAATGCAAAGCTAGTTGTTTCCAAATATATCACTCATACTGCGTATATGTATACATGTACACATCTATTTATTGCAATATCAAATTATTTGTCAAATGTGAGTCACGATCGCTTTCGAATTTCGAAACAAATCTCGAGACGATGATAAACGGTGATAAACGAATCATTTCTGAATACAATATGTCTTGTCCTTTGAGAAATTTTTCCAGCGCTTTGCATTTCGATTCCATGAAAGAAAAAAGAAAAAAACTGTTCTCCGATAAAGTCGAGCGAAAATGCGAGAAAATGGAGAAGCGTACATAATACATAAATGGTCAGGCGAAAGGAAAGGAAAGGAAAGGAAAGGAAAGGAAAAGTAAAGAGAAAACGGAATGGGCGAGATGGGAGAAAAGGCGGAATTCAATTTGTTGCTGGCACGTCGGCCATGACCCGGATTTAACAGGTGCACTTCCTGAAGATTGTTCCGCTCGATAAGTGTCGATGGTTCGCCATTCAGCATTCACGAGTTCGGTTAGCATCTCTTAGCGATATAGAAAGCAGTCGGTGAAAGCGTGGCAAAATTTGATACATCGTTTGAGACTTCGGATGGCGGACGATCAATCGAATATATTTGTATGTATTTGGGAAATATTTGTCACGTACCTACACGGGATTTCTGTTAACACGGAAGATGGCATCTTCCAAACGACACGGTCGCTGCTTTTATTCCAGCCAGAGTCCGTCTCGTCGTTATGGTGATTGCCATGTTTGTAATTGAATAAAACAGTTTGATGAACTTATTTCAAATTAATCAACGAATTTTTATATTAATTAAACTGTGTATTTCCTCTGTATTATTTATGCGTGAAAATGGAAACAGGAAGATGGGGGCAGTCTTCGCTCTTTTGCGAGACGCATTGTCATCAATTTTTTGTCAATTATTCAAATCCACTGGACCGGATTCTGAGAGCAGTCTCTTCGGACGGACTTGATCGAATGTGGGCTTGATTGACGCTATTCTTCTCCGTCGCAACGGTAGCACCGCTTTCTCATCCTTTCCCTACGGGACGTCCGCCGAGTCTTTCCCTAATGCGTGCTTGATGAGAGCTAACCTTGCCAGAGGTCTTCCATTCCGCCACCGTTAAATATTTCCACCATTTCTCCGCCTCTCTTCCCTGGATTACTCGGTTTATCGATGCGGACGATTATTTCACCCATCACGTTCGTCATCGTCTCTGCGGGTCATCTGGTTGTTAACTTGGCCTTACAGCATTATAAAGTCCCGCTAAAGTGACGCAATGCGGCAAGCTAATCTCTCCCTGGACGTTTGTGGTTGAGCAGCATGTTTTAGCGGCGATGTAAGACGGTCTCTTTCAGAATACTAATCTTCCGATGAAAAATGATCTCTTTTGCCAGATACTTGAAACGATGTGACGGTGGTCTCGCTTGTGGTATATGCTACGCGACCCAAACCTTGTTAGGTAACTAACTTAGTTAGTGGATGAATTTTCGTGAATCATTTGTTCACAGTCTGGACCCTTTTGCAAGAGTTAACAAATTACAAATCGGTGTCGTTTATCGGTCGATGATATTTAACATCGTGAAGTTCGATCGACATTACGGCACAGTTTATCCATAATAAATTCTATTGTTACGTGAATCAAATGTCGTTCTATTAACAATAACTGACATTGTCAAATATAGTTGAGGAATTTGTCAACACGACGAAACCCGCAAGTTGAACCTGAAGCTAGTCTTTCTCGAAACAAGAGAACTATCCAACAAGAGAACAATTATTTGCCAATTATTGCAAAAATTGGCGAAATGAGACTTGCAATTCGGATTGGATTAGGAGATGAAACAGCAGAGAGCAGTAGAGATAGATGCTAGTGAGTTGCACGCGGAGTAATACCGTAGTGAAAACGAGGAAACGGGACGCGACACAACGCGACGAGATGGTCGATCGAGCAGGGAGCTACGTACAGAGGCAAGGTGGGACGAAGAACTGACGACATTAGAGGCACATTAGCGTGCGCCACTCGTCGACCAGCTGGTAGCTTACCAGGCCAGCCAATTATATGCCGATTCCAAATGATCAGCTGCACAATGCCGCATCAAGTCGTCGACGTGCACGTCGTGGCTATATCCTCGATATCGATATATGTACCTATATAACTATAACTGTAAAAGCGGTTTTCGCGGAAAGGTCCCATCGGTTGTTACACGTTGCCCGCTAATATCGTTTCAGATCAATTTCAACGTACAACAATCTGTCGAACGCCGTCAGTAATGTACTAGGCTAATGATACGAGCGTCTTTGTCAACTATGGAAACTTGGCGCTTGGCTTTGGTTAACTTGAAGGGTAACTTTCTATCGCTGTGTTTTGCATGGAATCTTTCGATGAAAGTATCTCGTATCGAATCTCTCAGTGCCTTTCGTACGATAATTTCAATCGAAATGGCTAATTCATAATTTTTCCGTAGAAATGTGTAGAAATTTGTCTCGAATTTTTCGAGAAGAATCGAATTTTCATTCGCCTTGTGTTACCATTTAAATAATTTGAACTCAATGCGATGTAACTGACATAAAAAGAAATAGGGCGAGAAGGATTGGGCGAAGCTTTTGTCTCTTGGTTACAAGTTGCAACCTTACGGAGAAAATGCCGTGGGTATGGTTCAACTGTCTGTCCGAAGCCAACATGTTCGTAATTCTTTGCACCGCGAAAAGATACGTGCCGCAAGTTTTTCGTTGCCACGGAACACGCGCATCTACGTGGTTTGCAGATGTTACCAGCGGGTGTTCTTCGGGTACTTATTTGAAGAACGAGCGCTCATTTGAGGCCAGGTTGGCTCCCACTGCGACGAAAATTCAAATGTTAAGATATGTTTTTCACGTGCAAAGATCAGAGACCCTACGTTTGTTTGTTTCGCCCTTTTAATTAATCGCGCTCTTTTGTCCCTTTAACGAGATTCTTGTCCATCTCCGACAGAGGCTGTCCAAGACGATCTTCTGCTCGTGTCGTCCCTTCAGGCAGATTTCGCGAGTAAACATTCTACACGTGTCAAGTAAATTCTAAATACGTCAAGTATTCTCAAATATTCTCGAATATTTTCTAGCGGAACAACTCGAAGAAGATCACGCGTATATAATAGTTGGTTAAAAAAGAAATCATTGCGTTATATCCTCTGTCTGACTTCCATCTACTTTCACTATCCGTATATTATTCTTGATCCGATCACTGAAATGGTAGAAATCGTATTGACGAATTATAAAGCAAATAGAAAATATCGTCTGCCACGATAGTTTGCGTGTTCTCAGTTACTTGCTACCAGCTTAGTTACTATGGGTCTCATCGAGTTTAGAACGATGATGAATTACAAAGCTTCTTCGACTGGATTCTTCCTGGAAAGCACTTTCGCGTGTGTCTCTATCATTGTCACGAGTGGCTACGCTCGACATAGCTCGGCCGGTGGGGAGAGGGCCACGCTGGTTCCTCTTCGCTATTAACGGCAGGATGTCTCGAGAGGACGAGGAACAACTTGGACAAACCTTTTCCTTCGTCGAGTGCGCCGGTTTCTCGATGGCAAACATGCCACGTCCGTCGACGTGGACTCGAACCTTTTCGCGAAAACTGTCGGCCGTTGTCGTCGCCGTTGCAAACCGCTGATGACACTCTACGCCACTTGAACGGGGCCGCTTGTTGCGCGCCGCTTAGTTTCCTCGAAGAATCTCGACCCTTGTCGTTCTCGTCGTCCTCGTCGTCCTCGTCGTCCTCGTCGTCCTCGTCGTCCTCGTCGTCCTCGTCGTCCTCGTCGTCCTCGTCGTCTTCGTCGTCCTCGTCGTCGACGATCAGAAGGACAAGGTGAAAGAGGACTACCGCCACAGTGGACAGCGACCACGATTACGGCCAACACTCTTCGGCAATTACAGGCCAAGTGGCACCGTAGAAAGACAGGTGGTTATAAGTCAGCACATCAGCTACGTCCTTCTACGTCTTTCTTCCTCTCCCTCCCCCTCCCCTTTGCAAAACGCCTCTGCAACAAATTTATGACACGATATGTGCACGTACGTACCTATATATTTATACTGTATATATATTCGTACATGTATATACTTATCCCAAACAGAGACCTTGTTCCTTCGGTGCTTTACGAATCTGTTGCAATTTAAATCGAGAATCTGCTTGCCTGGCGTTTTTATCTTTTCGATAGGGAGGATTTTGAGTAGAGGAGTAATCAGGAGTTGGGGAAAATCGAAACTTTTAGCGTGGATTCTATTGTCAGAGTGGGCAATACCTACACATTTACCTACATGCTATATGTATAGTAGATATTTGAAAGTAGAACGATATTGCTTAATTCGAAGGTCAAGAATTTATTTATTGCCGCTGCTGTTGCTACTGTGTCTTTTGCCAATTGCGTTTTCTCATTTTACAAAGTTTCAACATTTTGACGAAAATTTCAAAAGAATTATCATTATAGAATGGACGATTTCTTGTGTAAAATTCTTTCTTGACACGACGAATGTGCTCCCATCCGTTAAAGTAAAATGAATATCGAGACGCAAAGATTCGACAAAATCTTGTTTCTTATATACATAAATTGCGTCATACCGACGTGTATTGTCGATCAACATCGAACAACAGAACCATGTTATCAAACAGAATTTCTTTCTTGCCAAAGCACTTCAATTTCAGCGTCAATTTCGTGGTAAAACGAACCTCGTAACCAACGCCTTTTTCATTATCCGAAAACGGTCATCTTCTATATTTTTTGTATCTTTTTCGACTCTACTATATCCTCGAGATCTCGTTTAAAAACGTTCGATTAAAAATACCGCGCCGCCTCTGCAGCGAGTGATAATGACGCCGCATTATACCAAGCGAGGCATACACAAGCATACGCGCTATCGTGCTATCGTGCTATCGTGCTATCGTGCTATCGTGCTATCATGCTATCATGAATCATCTAACATACGATGTCCGCGCGCTCGTTGTACCTACATATACGTACATATAGTTCTCGACAAGCATCGTACATTACCGATCGACAAATTCTCGTTCTGGCCCTCATAAATCGGCGCGTATGCGACGCGCGTACAGATTAACGCCGGCCGGCCCTCGAGAAACGGGCAACCGATCCGCGTTTTATCGTAACACGATCGATAAAACTGGATCCATCCGGATAACGCTTTGAGCCATGACACATTGGCCAACCGATAAACGTGGCCCAAAGGGAGGAAACTCGATGCTTGGATCCTCGTCGTCAAGGGCTGCGGATAATCGACTTAACGATGAAGCTTAACGACTTCTTGGTAACGGTCCTCCCGGTTCTCCAACTTGGTCGTCTTCTTATCCTCATCTTTCGTCTTCGTCTTCGTCTTCGTCTTCGTCTTCGCCTTCATTGACTAGTCGACGTTGATCGTGATAGTCGCGTTCGTGTATTACGATCTAACTCCAGTTCTAGATGAAGCCAGTTTTTAGATGTAGAAGAGGAAAAAGAAGAAGAAGAAGAAGAGGAAGAGGAGGAGAAGGAAGAAGAAGCAAAAGAAGAAGCAGAAGGAGGAAGAGGAGGAGGAGGAGGAAAAGAAGAAGGTTCGAGCGAGAGATCGAGAGACGTCCAGACTCTATAATGCACGGGGGACACCGCCATACGTGTCACGGAGAATCGATCCGATCCGGTTGTAAGCCGACCTAACCATAAGTCCGAAGCGGATCGAGAGCGCTCGTCGAACAAGAGTACTTGGTCTGTTCGCTTCGCAAGCGACATTATCCGATCGTACAGAGTCGATTTTGTTCTCGTTGATGTATGTCGTTCAGCTGTGAAATATCTCAGAAATACGTACATCATTACTTTTCCCTTCGTTTTCCTTCTTCTTCTTCTTCTTCTTCTTCTTCTTCTTCACTTTGAATTTCAGTGAATTTTGGATTCAAACGCTTTAGTATGATTCGTTACTTTGATAAATATGATTTTTACTCCTTCTTCGATTATTAAAGAATAAGAACTTTTGGAGAATTTTAAAAGATATTTCGGTATTTTCTTTCGTAATTTGAGAAAAAAATAATAAATTTGTCGTGAAATTTGGCAATTTAGTAAATTATCTACCTTATAAATATTACATCATGTAGAGAGTTCGAGAAAAGATGTAAATCTTTAGTGGAATTAAAGACTGAATCTCAATTCTAGCATGAGACATATCTTGTGATTTTATAAATGGATTTTTATGGTAA